TATCTATCTATCTATCTATCTATCTATCTATCTATCTATCTATCTATGTAATCATTTAATCATTTTGGTACGGTGCATTTTTGCATTGTATTGTCATTGCTCTCTCCCCTTGACTTCTCATGTATTTTATTGCATCAATTTTTCTTTTCGATAGTTTTAGTCCAACTCGGATCGTCAGGCTAATAGTCACTTTCCTCTCCTCTTACATATGTTAATATGTATGTTTAATGGATATGCCACTTTTAGTTTACCACAAAGGCTGCATATGATTTATTTATCATTTCCAGTGCCAGAGCTACTTAGGGAAAATTCTTGTCTGCTTTTGAGACTGTTTAGAGAATTGCCCCCATTTCCTGATTAACATACAATAGGTTATGACAAAATTGACAAGGGATACCTACTGTTATGAGGAGTTATGATTCACTGTTAAATAGCTGGATTGTCTTGTTGTTCTTCTTCAATGCTTTTCTTTTGTCTTTTTTACTCAGGGTGAAGAGGGAGACCAAGGAAGTCCAGGGGATGTTGGGTCCCAAGGACCAACAGTAAGATAGTGTTGTTAATGCATTACATACTATTTGAGTCATAGTTTGTCCTTCAATACCAGCTGATGCACCTGTTTTATGTATTTGTTGGTTTAGGGACCTCAGGGAATTCGTGGAGCCACAGGAATGATTGGTCCCAAGGGAGAGATGGTCAGTGTTCCTATGGTTTGGTAGCCTGTGTAATCCTTTCAAAGACATCTTAAATGACCTGCAGTTATACAGTACAGTGGATTGATTAGTGGTAATCCATTGTGGCTGTAAATTGTCAGTTGTTTGTACAAATTATATTGACAGTAATTACCCATATTGATCCTTTGCAGGGAGCTCGAGGTCCTGATGGAGACCCAGGTCCTCAGGGAGTCGCAGGAGCAACTGTAACTTTAACCCTGAGTGCAAATATAGTTTTACATTGACTGTGACGTAAACAGCACAGGTTGTGCCATAAATGTCTTCATGCATTATTTCAGGGAGACCAAGGTCAGAGAGGTGTGATGGGTGAGCTCGGGCCAAAAGGGGAAATGGTCAGTAGACATTTTCATGGATGGAAACAGTTTAAAAGCATTAACCAATGATGAACACTGGATACATTTTGTTACTCAGGGTGTTCAAGGATCAAGGGGAATCACAGGCCTCCCAGGTCCCAAAGGAGAGTCTGTGAGTGTTGGATCAATAATGATAAATAATACTTCACTGTAACTGTCAGACACACTGACTGCAAACAACACCTTTTACTTTCACCTCTCTTCAACAAGGGCCTACCGGGTGTGGATGGCCGTGAGGGTATTCCTGGAATGCCTGGAACAAAGGTAGGAATGGTTTTACAAAGCAAGACATTGCAGTTTTATTAGAAGACAGACAAGACTTAAAGATTCTGCTATTAGAAGAAGAGAATTATTTTTATTTTTCCTCAGGGAAGTGTGGGGAAGCCAGGCGTTCCTGGAGAGGTTGGACTTCAAGGGCTTCCTGTGAGTATAACCTTTTATTAAAATGGTTTTGATCAGTTAAACTGCACTTAGTAATATACATTATAGGTGGTTTTCACATGAGCAAATACCACAGCCAGAAGCCAGTGATATGATATTGTTGTTACGTGTTCCAGCCAAGTGGTCCACAAGTCTGGGTTTTTTCAGGTGAGAGGCTTTAATGAGAATCAGTTGGTGAACACGACTGGCACCTGCATGCTTTGTTGGCTTAAAAATAATTGCCAATTTTCTATGATGATTCGATTCATAATGCATAATATATTTGCAATAAATCTATTTGAATCAGACACAGGAAGTGGGTGTGTTTGTGCTCATTAAACCTGATTTTGTGCTCCAGTATTTCTTATGATGAAACAAACTGTCATGATATTGTTCAAGATGTGTTCTTTGTTTTCAGGGTCTGACTGGTGCACCTGGACCAAAAGGCTCGGGTGGCTCTAAGGTTGCTTCCTTGAGGAATTGATTTTCCATTATTTTCTTAAATTGAATTATCTAGTTCTCAGCGCCAATTTTTTCCCCCTAGGGAGATGCTGGTCAGGCTGGATTCCCTGGAACATTAGGATCTGCTGGCAAACCTGTAAGTGTTGGCAGAAACATGATGAGACATCAATCAGGTGTGTGTCACCTCCATCATGTAACTGTGTATCTTCACTGTCACAATACAGGGTGAGCGGGGAGAACAGGGAGAGTTGGGATCTGTTGGACCCATTGGTGAGCCTGTGAGTGTTTTCCCACGCTCTATTGTTTTAATTTCAAACTTTACTTCCCTTGAATGTCTTACCATTTTCCCTTTTCCCTTCCCTTCCCTTTTAGGGAGATATAGGAGAGCAAGGCCCTCTGGGACCAGCTGGAAAGCCAGGTGCAAGGGTGAGTTGTAAACATATGAATTTATTTAGTTCAGCTTTGACTTTATCTTTTTTTATTAATTAAACTTTTTTTAAAACAGCAGGAGAGCACATTCACAACTAGAGGCGCTGAAGATGAAATATTTAACTCACGCTTTTCTGATAATTTAAATGTAAAAAAAAGTAAACGAGGGGAAACCCTCTGTGTTCTAAACCCTGGCTGTTGTTTCACTGGAATGTCTCAGAGAATAGGTTAAGGCTGGATCTCACATCAGGTCTATTTTCACAGTAAGGGGAGACCGAGCAGGAGGCTGAAAGAGCCCTCTGTTCCCCTGGCATTCCTCAGACAGTCGGTCAGCGATCAAAGACAGAATGGCACACACAAACACGCCCATGAGAACAAGGAGCAGTGCTAAGCTTGGGAATAAATGTTGATAGCACACATAACTGATAAAAACATTGTTCAACTTTAAATATAGAGTTATTACCTGCGCCACTCTCACGTACTCTTCTGAGACAAAATCTTGTATCTTTTTTATTTTTCTGCAAAGCCCTACCTATGTGTGTCTACTATCAATATATAGAGATAAGCATGTTTCCTAAATATAGGGACCAAAAGGTGACCCTGGTGTTCCTGGTCTCCCTGGTCCACCTGGCCTACCTGGAGAAAAAGGAGAGAGGGTAAGAAATCTAAATGTTTTCTTTAAAAAAACTCTTCAAATGTCATACTATTATTTCAAAAAGTCAAATAGATGCCTAACTGTAAACAGCTGATCAGCTCCCTCTAGTGTAGTCAAATTAAACAGCTGCAATTTCTCCATTATGCGCCCCTCGTTTGACTGGTTAACACATTTGTTATGCAAATTACAGGGAGAGCGTGGAGAATCAGGACCCAAAGGAGAGCAAGTATGAAATCTTGATAATGATCATTCTGTTTGAGCTGAAACTTAAATAACTTGCACTTAAATAACTGGTGGGTTTCTTTGCGTTAATTATTTACTAACTTTGTTTTCATAGGGAGTACAAGGTGATGAGGGAAACCCTGGAGAGAAAGGGGAAGTTGTAAGTTGTTTCACCAACATGCACAGTAGCCTTGTCACAGTTCACTGTCTCTAGAGTAATTTAACCAATAATTAAACCCATTTCGTTAATGGAATTACAGGGTGATGCAGGAGAATCTGGACCCAAAGGAGAGGTGTGTACACAGTTCTCATTTACATGAAGCCATCAAGAAAAAGGTACACATTTTTTTAGTATTCCCCTGGACTTAAACTGCACATGTGTTGTCTCCAGAATGGTAACCCTGGTGAGCCTGGCAGCAGAGGCCCAGAGGGAAGTCGAGGCCAGCCTGGCATCGAGGGGCCTCCTGGGTCACCTGGACCACGAGGCATGCAAGGGAATAGGGGTCCACGTGGAGTCAGAGGGTCCCAGGGTCCTGCGGTAGGTCTTAAAAAGGAAAAACCTCTAAATTAAAGTTTAGAGAATGTGTCTGAAGTGTAATAGTTGAGCAGCTTGAAGTAGGACATGGCTTCATTACACTGTCATTGAACAAAAGCCTCAGGCATGAGGTATATTTCAATAAAAGTCTTAAGTCTTTAACCTCCAGCCCATTAGTTACATTTTCTGATCTAAAACATTGTCTGGTAGAGGTATCACATTAGAATCTGCTATCACAAACCATAGTCCGGGTCAATCAGTGGTTATGTCTGTGGTTGTAAATACCTCATATTTCATGGCATGATCTCATAGATTAAATGTGTTTTTTATTCAAAATTCCAGCTTCAAATATTCAGATTAATTATTAATTGTTTTTGGGAAACATATGCTCAATGTAAATTTTTTATTTTTGAATCCATCTTTACAAGCAGCCCTCTACCAAATTATACCACCTCTTACTTGTGCAGATACCCAAAAAAAGCATGTTATGAAGTGGGAAAAGTTTTCCGCACACATAACTTTAGCAAGTCAGTTATGCCTGACTCACTTTGTGTTTCTCTTTCCGAGAAACATTGAGATGAAATATGCCAAACTGAGCAGAGCCCTATAGACCAAGTATAGCTGCTTCTCTTCAAAAAACATAGGTTTATACAGTACAAAATCCCTGCGGAGCAGTATTGAACCCATAAACTTGCCCAATGATTCAGCAGACATGATAAACCTAACCCATTTTCTGTGAAGGTGTCTGCTTCTTGAAAAACAACTCTGCTCTATTTTATAATCTTTCATCCTTACATATGAATGTCTCTACCTTGAATTTAGGAATTTGGGGTATAACTGTCTGGTTAATGTTACAGCAATTAAATCGTAGAACAAAGAAATAGAAAGGGTGATCTGAAAATGTTTCATAAAGTTTTCTTTTACCCTGCAAATCCCTCAGTAGTTGCATAAGTCTGATATTCTTGCCTTAGCGCTAGCATCCATGTAGAAGAGACAAGCAACTTAAAAATGTTATCATCAAGATTTGCAAAATGCTGTGTTTTTAGAAAACTTTTCTGTCTCTAAGAGTTAAAAACAATATCAGTTGCAGCTTCACCACAGTGAAAACGTTTGTTTTTTTTAAAACATCTTTAATATCGTTGAATATTAAATATTCAATGTTTAATTGAAGCAAATAGTAATGTTACCAGACTGTCACAAAATCTATTAAGTATCTTTTCCTTCTAGGGTAAAGAGCCAAGTGATCAGCACATCAAACAAGTTTGCATGCGAGTCATGCAAGGTAAGAAAAGAGAGGCTTTTGACCCCATTTATCATTCCCTTGTGCCTCATTTCATAGCTTTAATGTTTCCCACAGTGCCTCATTACACAACCACACAAAGAGCCTCCCTTGCATTGTCTCATTGATCTGGCCAGTGTCTGAGTATTCTAAACTTCGAAAAAGGGAGGTTCTCATATACAAAACATTAAATAAGCTTCAGCCTTTGTTCATGTGATGGATGAAAGATTCTTTCTCCAGGCCTTGGAAATGTTTCTCTGAAGTCACAACATCTGTTCCGTTCATTCTTGTGCTCTTACATCTTCACAAGTCATCTCCTACTCTCATGACTTTTTTATATCCGTTGTGCTGAAAAATTAATTTCACCTCCAGTAGACCTGCATTTCTCTGCTCCAAGCCAAGACTTCGAAAGGGGATCTTGAAAAATGGCAGTCAAGGAGCCACTGCATAGGCTTTCATCAAAAGCCAGAGAGCTGGAATCTAATGGGGCTAAAAATATTCTGTCGTCTGTATCATGTACATGTATTTTCTGATGTTGATTGCAAGAAATAGTGTGCATTGTATCCTTTTGGCTTAATGTGTGGGAGTTTAAATAGAAAAGGAATAAATAACCTGAGAGTGTTGAGGGCTTTTTATGACCATGGTTTCATTTCACTTTAGTTCACAGCTCAAAATCTTATGATCTGTTTTAGTTACTGCTGTGTGTGCATTGTTTTGGGCACACATGTCTCTGCCTTGGTAAAACAACAATTTACTCCAATGCTCTGTCCTTAAAAAGTTATATTAGCTATAGCTGGTCAGAAACATTATTGCTGATACTTTGAAGAGATGCAGCTAACTCCATTGTTTTCCTGCTGTGTTTCTACAGAACAGCTGGCTCAGTTAGCTGCTAGTTTAAGGAGGCCGGAGTCTGGTGTTGCAGGTTTACCTGGTAAACCTGGACCCCCGGGGCCTGCTGGGCCCCCAGGTGACAATGGTTTCCCTGGGCAGTCAGGAGCCAGAGGTCTTCCAGGACTCAAAGGGCCACAAGGACAGATAGGAGTGAAAGGACCCAAAGGTACTGAACATGTTGGCAGTATTTCTTGTTTATGGGGTGTGTCAGAAATTGACATAATATCATAAATGCTTGTTGCTTCTCTAGACAAAGTCTTTTGAAATAAAAAACCTGTTTCAGGTGAAATGGGAGACAGAGGGTCCAGAGGACCCACTGCGAGAGGACCTAAAGGTCAGCCTGGACCGCCTGGGCTTCCTGGTGAGTACATTTGCATTTCCACTATTATACCATTCTTCTTATTTCTATACCTGCTTAATCCAATACAGGGTTACTTTGGGCCTTATAATGTTCCACCTGCCACTGGGCGAGGGGTGTAGTACATTCTAGACAGGTTCCTAGTTTGTCATCCATCTTAAAGTATATTTTATGAGTTTGACTTAGGTGTGTGATCACATTCTTATATGTACATTAAAATAATGAAATATTGATTTAGTATCCTATATTTTGAAAGCGTATATTTTTAGTATTATTCAGTATTTAGTAGTTGTGTATTTTCCTGTCTGGAACTAAAGACATCTGGGATTAAAGTCTGTTGCCTCACAGCATGAGGGGTTCTGGTTCAAATCCCATTCTGTATAGAATTTGCATGTTGTCAGTAGGTGCTCTGGCATTCTACCACAGTTCAAAACGTCTGTGTAAGGTAAACTGTTGGTTTTGCATTAACTGTGGGTGTTGCATGGTGGCTTGTCTCTCTTTATAAAATGTGATTGCAATGTAAGGTGCTATTTATATATTTTTTTCAAATATATGACTAATTGGAGAATGTAAGTGATAATATGTTGAAATTAAACCATGGGAGAAGTTTTGAGTAAAACAAAATTAGCATTTGACAATACTTCATTGCAATGCACAAGCAGTCAGGATCCAAACAGCTGAGGAGCCGTTAGCTTCATCTTCAATAATGTACTACTTTTTGTATTCAAAAAGCTTTTTTTGTTTTAGTGAGTGGAATATTATTATCATCAAAAAATAACCAAGAACTTAATGGATGAATGCAACAGTGTAGAAAGTGTAGCATTTCCCCTCTGAAATGTGGTGGAGTATGAAGTAGCATAAAATGAAAGCTGAAGCCCCTTTTTGAAGTACAGTACATGATTAAGTGTGCTTGGTTACTCTCCATAACAGACTTATGCTGAGACAGAGTTATGAATGCTTGTTTTACTCCATATCACTTACACAGTATTCAGCTGATAGTTCTATTGAAAGTCTGTAAGGACATGACGAATAATTATTGTGAGCAGAGATATTTTATCAAGTAAAAGCCAATGAACTGTCAGAGACAGACTAACAAAAATGTATATATAAGCTTTGAAATCAGTCTCCTCATTATATATGAACATTATATTTCAAGGAGAACCAGGCAAACCGGGCTATGGTCAAGATGGTCGGGACGGGCAGAGGGGACCCCCCGGCGTGCCCGGACAGCCGGGCGTTCCTGGGCCTCCTGGTGCAGCTGGTCCAAACGGTTACTGTGACCCATCAGCCTGTAACCTCCAGGCAGGTGCTGCCCAGCAGTCTTTGGATGTGAAGGGACCTCCAGGGAACTAAGAGACACTCTGGCACAGACAGACTGTTGGATCACTTCTCCCAAACACACATCTGTTGGTGATAGATATATAAACCTCTCCGTGTGAGCTTATTTTGTGTGAGCAACATGTTCGTCCCAGGGAGCCAAAAGAATTGGAGCAAAAGAATCGTTGAATTTTAAGTGCAGCAAATCTTGGTTGTTTTCCTTTTTGAAAGATGTTTTGAGATATTAAGGATTCAGGATCTTGAATATGAAATGAACAGAAACAAATGATCCCACTCTCCTTGTGCCTCTGCTTGAATCTTGTGTTATATTCTCCATTTTAACCATGTTGTTGCGAAAAAGCTCCACAGCTTTTCAAATCGGGATCAAGATTTTGTAAGATTATTTTGTTTTCTATGTGATAATGTACCAAAGATAAACCTGCTGAGATCCAAATTACTCCGCATTTTCACGTCTAGCTACCTTGTCCATCCTGCAATTCAAAATAAAAGAAGGATAGAGGATGAAAATGTCAACAAGTCACACTGACTTTGATAAATGTTGTAAATCTGTAAAAATGTTTTAACTGTGGTGAAATATATTTCCTACAAAACCACCTGATGTGAGATTTTCCCTAATTGTTCAGAATGAAAACATAGTGCAGCTTTACATATATGGAAACATATTTCAAGAGAAAAGAACATGTAAAAAAAAAAAAGATACATGAACTGTTAAAACTAAGTATCTTTATACAACATAAATTAGAAAATGGAAGAAATGTATTCTAATTGTTTCCCAAGAAGCTTGCACTTAAAATAATACATTCTTAACTTAAAAGAATAAAAAGCTTCTTCCCAATTTAATAGCTACTCTGCCAAATTTAATTGCATTGCTCTCAGCAGGTAGACTTTTACAAAATTAGAGAATTTCCACAAAGTAAAAATGTTTCTCTCCGTAATGATGTGATATGATTCGAAATTTCCCAGTAACCACAAAATAAGCTGCCGCACTATATCCCCAAATTAGGTTGCTCTGACATTGTGAATAAAAACAGACAAACACAGAAGATGGTATGCCAAATATTCATCCTTTTTCAGAAAATCTAAGTTCACCATGAATTCAATGTTTTTCTTTACAGCTATTGTTTCCTGCTTGAACTCTTGATTTGTGTGCCAAAAATGTAGATAGTTATAATGGAAATATATTTATATCAACAGATATTTGGAAAGCCGCAAGCTATAGCTACAGTATAGAGCCATTTTGTTGTATACATTGTCTGTCTAATCCCAAAGGCTGTTTATATGTATATATCCCACTGTGATATACAGTATACATAAACGTACTAATGGCACACAGTACTAATGGCATTTTAACACGTGTAAACAAGGTATCCAGGATGCTATGTGCAAATCATTCTTTGCATGGCAGAGTTTTAATACAAAACAAAATGATGACTGATTTCAGTGCAATGGAGGGTTAGAAGATCATAGCCATGATCAGCTTCAGTGATCTTGTGTTGCATATAGCAGAAGCACATTCTATTTACAATATGCGGTTTTTAGTCTAATTGCTCTGTATTGCATCTAACGGGCACAGGAAATATACGTTTCTTAAGGTGCCAACTGCATTAATGTCAGATGTATTGTTAAAAAAAACTGAATGCAACAAGTAATGCACCAGAAAACATTTATTGCACACAGAAAGGCAGGAGGCATTAATCAGTGAACATAAAAGATTCTGCAAAGAAAAAAGTTAAATACAACCTCTGATACCTGGTAACCACACACTGGACTACACTCCACAGAGGGCAACATAAATACCCCTGTTCTTTCTCAAATAGTGATCAAAGTCCAACTGACATCAATAAGAAATGTGTTCCTCAACACATGCAAGGCTTTTTCTTTTGTCCTTTTCCAAGGCAACAGTTGTTGAAACTTGTTTATCTTTTTGAAATTCCTAATCACGTAGCCATGCAGTAAACCAAGACTGAGGTAGATATTCAACCAAACAAAGACTTTTAAAAACAAACATTAAAGTCACCCAGCATGATTCTAGCTTATATGGCATCAAAGAACAGTTTCATTGAGACCAGCAGGCTGAAGAAAATTTTTAATCTGAGGGGCCGTGCTGAGAAGCTGATCCATATTCCCCCTCATTACAAGCTTACTTACAAGATTAGATTACATGTGACAACGGAATCAACTTACATTACTGGGGAACACAAGCAATAATAAAGTATGTGAGTGTATAAAAGTGATGGTTTAAGTGAATTTGCATTGCTTGACCTGCCTTTGGGTGCTATTTTCAGGGAAGCTGCAATAACTCTGAGCTTTGAGTTGGCTTTCATTAAACATATCCCACTTTGTATAAATGGATATTAATCTGGTGTGATGTTAAACAACTCCAACTTTCTGGCGAAGTGAGCTGTGACATCAGTGTCGTCCCTGTTTATCATACTGTTTGCATAAATGGAAGGAGCAAACTGGTGCATATTAATATCAATTGAAGCTAAACTCAATATACGGAAGACTCTCAGCAGTAGGCCAGATGAAAAAAAAATCTCAGCACTGTCTCATTTGAATCTCATCAAGTTCGGTGTAATTGTCTCTGAAAAGAACCCAAGAAACTGCAAGAAAATTAAAGTGGCTAAAAGGAAGGAAGCTGGAGAAGAAAGGGGAATTCATGTGGTCAATAAACCAAAAGAAAAATGGTTTAAAGTCTATTAATTGCAAAGAGAAAAGAAAAACACATCCAGCAGGGGGCTCCTTCAACTCACAAATGAAGCAAGTGGCTCCTACTCTATTTTAAAATTAGTCTCACTCACACTGATAAAATTGAGAAGAGATAAAGCCAAACTGGCATGCTTAAAAAAGTGGTCTGCAGCTTCTGAACTACATGTGAGTTATAATTCATTGTGTAAGATCTGCTTCATGACTAGGATGTGAGACATGAAGCCCTAAGAAAAAAAAGAGCATATTAAAGGATGAAATAAAGATAGAAGAGAGTTTTCAATGTTTCAGATACACCCACAGAACTATTCAAACATTAATCACAGCATGACAAAAAAGTCAGATTTAAGGCCTTGAGTCAAACTCACATGAAAAAGGCCTAAACTTAAATCTTGAGTTATATAGGTCCACTACAATCCAATGATTTGTTTCCTTTTATAAACACATTCAACTTTTAATTCCAAGGATTGTGTTTGCTTCTGTTCCATGTATTTGTATTTGTGTAGTGCATCTTGAAACAAATACTCCTAGTACTTATAATCAAAGGGACGTCCATCCTTTACATGAAAATTGCATGTGTCGCATGGCCTGCTCAGGTGCAATAGATCCAAAGCTTTCAAAAACCAGTTGAGAAAATTTAACTGACTCAAAAAAGATTGAAAGAAAAAATAAATAAGTCCAAACTCTAGTCTTAAAGCACCCCAAAAATAAAATCCAACAATCCACAGTAACACACAGTGTTGGTCAAAGAGTGAAAAACCAGGATGTAGACAATGACAAGAAAATTCAAGTACATTCATGAGTATAACATTGCACCAACACCATTCAAATACAAATGCCAAATCCCATAGCTGTAGCGTGGCAGTCCGATTTCTCTTGCGTTGCTGAAAATCAAAAATATACATATGAACGAGAGGAATCATCATACATGACGCCATGTAAACAATATATGCCAGTAATCATCTAAGATGCAACACAGCCTTGAAAAATTGCAAATAAGTGAGAAGCTCAATGAATTACAGTGACAGCTCGCTTATGAACTCAGATTGTTAGGTCCCTTACTAAGCCCCATGAGATATGAGAAAAGAAAACAAGAAACAAACACAGAGAGATACAATCATTGTTTAAAGATTAAACCAACGGTGAAGGTGGGTGAGGGGTCACCTCACACTCACTGAACATTAACATAATTTAAAGACAATTCTTCTCATGTGGAAAAAACTGCCCTTGACATGTTCTCCACAAATAGCTTCAAGCAGATGCGTTGGGTTGTTTGTGGGTTTTAAAATTACAAAAGCTTTGGCAAACATTATGGATGAGGGCTTAGTGTCAACAAACAGAAAACAGGAAGTCATCTTTAGCAGTGAATTAACTGCAGGTGTCTTTTTTGTACACACAAATACGTCATGTGTAATAAATTCAAGGAGAAAATGGCTAAAACTTTTACCATTTTCGAAATCATTCAAACATGTATTAAACCATCGCTAATAATAAGAATATCACCATATATCCATGCTACAATTAGAACAAGTACCACTTTTTTAAAAACATTCTGAAAGAGCACACTTGAAATAAATAATTTCTCTCTCAGAAACATAGGCTGCACTTTGGTTGCATAAGTAGTTTCATAAATCAGTTATTTCCTCACACCTACACAAAAATAAGTACTACATTCACTCGGCTAATCTTTTTCTCCTTCTGTCTGTCACACACACACAGACACATGAGATGTACCTTCTGCCAGCACAATGGCTTATCTGAGTAAGAACAGAAGAGTGCATAGACATGCCCATTAAAGAGGCAAACAAATAATTAAGATTATGTTTTCAGACAGGGCTGAACTTGATGAAACAGTCTTTTCATGGTCTTGAAAGACATATTGCGAGTCAACAAGGAATGCATTATATCACAGTAGGGGTTGTGAAAATAAGAATTAACTTCAAAGCACTGCATTGTCAAAGGTTTTCAGCTAAGTTCAAAAACAAAACACAACAGCAATCCCCAATAAAACTAAACCCGATGGCATCCAAATGTTATTGTGGGATGAAGGAAAGAATTCACTTGTGAGTCTGTCCAATAAAAGAGGGGCGGCGGAAGCTGTCGGATACAGTGAGGCCTTCTCCTGGTTTACGCTCAGGTCTGGATGGCTGTCCAATCTGCTGGCCTTATGATGAAGGGAGAAGACAGTCTGTGGGGTCACATGTCCCAGGAGGTCCACGGGGGCCTGGAGAACCAGGAGGTCCCTGAGAAGGGATCCCTGGTGGGCCTTGGAAGACAGACACACATAATTAATCACTGTATGTAGCAGC